CCCATGACGTCACAGGGCTCACCTCCGAAGGTGCCGCTGCCTCTTCCCTACGTCAGGCTCCTGCACCGGGGCAGAGAAGAGACACCAGAGCACTGCGCCTGCGCAACTGGAGCACCTCCCTCCCCCCGGCTCTCGATGAGAGGCCTCTGGGAATTGTAGTCCAGAAGCTTACCGCGCATGCGCAATCATCGGGGCGGACCCTGGGAAGCGGGGGCGGGACCTGGGCGGGAGAGAAAGAGGAGGGAAGAGGAGGGAGAGGGGAGGGGCGGGGCGAGGGGCGCAAGTGGCGCTGGAGCCCCAACCAAACACGTGCCCCCCCAACCCCCCCCCACCGCTCGCTCCTCCCGTCGGGGCAGTTGTGGCGCGGGCCGCCAGAGGGCGCCGCGGGGCACAAAGCGTGAGGCCCATGGGCAGGAGGGCCGGAGTTCAAATCAGTGCCCAGACACTGCCGAGCTGTGGGCCCCAGTGCGGTTCCCTTCACAGCTCCCTGCATCCGCTTCCCGTCCCCACGTGTAAATTGGGGGACATAATGGCACCACCACCCCCAGGGTGGCAGGAAGGGCCCACGGGATCACGTTGGTAAAGCACTTCCTAGCTCGGTGCCAGCACACAGTAGGCCCACAAAGCCGCGATGTTTCCCGCTTCCCCTGAGCGTTCGTTCTTCCATTTTATGGCCCCTCCCTTAGGGTTGTTGGGAGGGTCTACGGGATCACGTTTCTAAAGCGCTTCCTAGCTCGGTGCCAGCACACAGTAGGCCCACAAAGCCGAGATGTTTCCCGCTTCCCCGGGGCGTTCTTCTTCCATTTTCGAGCAGAGTTACTCCGCGGCAGCCCAGGAGAGGAGGCCGGGAGTTTGGGGTCCAGCAGTCCGGTCCACGTGGCACTTGCGGCCGGACCAGCACGGACCGACCTCGGGCGCTCCAGCGCGGAGCGCGAGTGTCCGGGATGCCGCACTGGAGCGCAGGCGGAGGGACCGGGGCTATGGAGAAACTGTCGAGGGCTGGTGGAGCCTCGGGGCCCCGAGGAACAGGGCGCACCGGGACTTTGGGAGCCAGCCACGCCGTGGTAAAAGCTCATCGATGCTGCCTGCTTACCCGGTCCGGGGGGCGGCCGTGCACGGGAGACGTGCAATTCATACGGACGCCCTTTCTGCTTCCACTTGGTATATGAAATGTTAGCTTTATTTTGAGTTTAAATTCAGAATAAAAAAGGATAAAATTGAGAAAAGAAGAACGTCAGCTCCTGCAGTGGCACCGGGGAGCCCGTGCTTGGCACAGTGGGCACTTGGCCGCCTGATTCCATTCCTCCTTGGCCGGTGCCCACCACCCCACGGGGCGCTGCTGCGGAGCCTGCTGGGCTGATGGGGCCAACAGCCCACGGTTTCACCGCACCTTCAGCAATAACCGAGCGTCCCTTAGAGCCCGGCCCACGGAGGCCTCTGCCCTGGAGCGTGGGGTGCAGCCCCTGCCCAGAGGGTGCCCACAGAGACCATGCGGCCTCATCCTCCTGTTAGCATCACCACGAATTCCACGAAGCCACTGTTTGAAGCGGGAAGAAACTTCATCAATGGGCCCGGGAAGGCCCGGCGTCCCACGTGTGGGAGCACGCTCTGACAGACACACACCTTTTTATTCCCTATTCCCCGTTCGAATTCCCCTCCCATTTCCCCATTGGCTGGGTACTACAGGGGTTCCAGCCTATCCGGAGCGCCGCATTTCCTCACGTGCGTCTCCACCCTTAATGACACCTCCCACTCCCCACAGTTCCGGGACCAGGCTCTTATAGGGGAACAGCCCTTTGGGTGTTAATCTGTACCTACCCTCAGAACCGGTTTTATTCGCCTGCCAGTAATGCTTTCTTACTCTAATTTATGGCTTCCCTTGTTCAACTTCTCCCTAACCCCTAGACTGCATTTTTCAGGGGACTTTTTGGGAAAATGGAAAATTGCTATGTCTCACAGACGTCAGTCCGCGTTTGAACTGATTCCAGCGATCTCCTGCCGTCACATGGCTGTCCACACCCTGATGAGTGAGATGCAGACGCCACATCCCCAACCACATTTTCCACACTCCCCCCAGCTTCCAGCTGCCTCGAGCTCCACGCAGGGAAGCCCGTGGTAATAAATAATAATAATAATAATAATAACAACAGCAATGTCCATGTAGCACTTCAAGGTTTGTTATCCTTGTTCGGTATGTCTGACCCTTTGTGACCCCATTTGGGGCTTTCTCGGTGGAGATACAGGAGTGGTTTGCCATTTCCTTCTCCAGCTAATTTTACAGATGAGAAAACTGGGGCAGACAGGGTGAAGAGACTTATCCAGGGTCACACAGTTAGTAAGTATCTGAGGCTAGATTTGAACTCAGGTCGTCCTTACAGTAGGCCCAGAGCTCTATCCACTGTGCCACCTAGCTTACTGTTTTTAAGTGCTTTACAAATACTATCTCATTTGTTCCTCTCAACAACCCTAGGAGAATATTATTATTGTCCCCATTTGATGAGGAAATTGAGCCTGAGAGAAGTTAAGTGACTAGTCCAGGGTCACAGAGCTAGTAAGTATCTGAGGTCAAACTTGAACTCAGGTCTGCCTGACTCAGTCATCTAAATTTTTGTGGTATCCTTAAATGATTTTTAGAATGTTTTTGATTATCATATTGACAATAAAATTTTTAAATAAGAATTTCTGAAAGCTTAATTTTCTGAATTTAGTCACTCATCACTATATACACCAGTAAATAATTTCGAAGAGTATTCTAATGTAATGAAAACAAAATTCCTTTGTTGTTTGAAATTCAGTTACAATTTTATTTATTGGACCACCCAGAGAAATTGTGTTGATAATCCACTAAAGACAATAACCTGCTGAATTATTTCTTAAACAGGGTTAAAATGATCCTATATGCAACTCATCTGCTTTATGAGCACAATTTGGGAGAATTAATCGTTATAAGGAAACATCTCTTGGATAAGACTGTATCTACCTATAACAATATATTTGTTAGTTGAAGGCTAGGGGACAATTAGATGCAACAAATATCTGTAAATGGACTCTAATTATAATTACCTACTGCTCCCATTAATAGGATTAAAGTTGATAATTTTCTCCTTATATGTATCAGCTCAGATGATTCTTCCATGAAAATAAAGGATAAAGCAATTATGTCTTATTAATTAGTAGGTAGCAAACTGACCTTTTGTGTTAGTAGTTAGGATCAACAATGAAGTAGATTTTTGACCCATTCCAAGTTACTACCTAATGTAACACGCCCTCCATTCCTTTTAGATTGAGGGTGGGGAGTAGGGAACATTAGTTTGTTTGTTTTTTCTGCTAAGGTATTTATCTGTTTCTCTTTAAAAAGAAAAACGACAACTTTATCCCTGCGACACCTTTTACTTGTTCACTTAGTCAGTTGGTGTTTCAAATGATGCTTATTGGCTTTGACCAAGACAGCCTCATTACATTTCCAGGTAGATGTCTCCTCCAAATAAATCGGTCCTGATTATTAGCTTTTTTCTTTGGGTTATGCTGAGAGCCCCCAACTCTTTGTATCACCACAACTGCATAATTTAGAAAGTATAGTTACTAACGAATATTCAAGTTTTAGGGTCGGGGCTTCATATTTTTCTTTATAGGAAAATACAATGTATCATTCTGTCTTTAATATAGTCTCTGGGTCACAGAATTGGGACTGAAAAAGACTTGAGTCCCAGGTCAGAGCTCTGCTGCCACCTAGTGGCAAGTAGCAGAACTTTAAATAACAGCATATCACCACTTTTAGCAATTCTGAGTTATCAGATTAAAAAAAAAAAAAGGATGGAAAAATTTTAACAATTGCATAAATGGACCAGACAAGCGCAGGAGGATTTTAAATGCAATCGTATTTGGAAGAATTTCACAAATAAGCCTAAAATTTGAAATCCTACAGGAGATACTCTGACTGATGTAGAACACCCATCCTTGGCCTGATCTGCCCACGATGAGGTTTGGGTTCGCCCGAGGCACTGGCATGGATGGAGGGGGGCCTTTCTGAACAACCATTTCTGAGTAGTTCTCATTTCCATTTGCTGGCTGCCTTCAAGTCTCAGCCAAAGTCCTTCTGCAAGAAGCCTTCCCGAGCCCTTCTCCATGTTGGCGCCTTCCGATGCGTCCCGTCTAGAGCTTGCTTGTGCACAGCTGTCTCCCCTCTTGGACTGGGAGCTCCCTGAGGGCAGGGCTGTCTTGGCCTTCCTTTGTATCCCCAGCACTCAGCACTGGGCCTGGCATAATTTGCTGCTGAGTCATTTCCGTCGTGTCTGACTCTTCGTGACCCCACTTGGGGCTTTCTCGGTGGAGATACTGGAGTGGTTTGCCGTTTCCTTCTCCAGCTCACTTTACAGATGAGGAAGCAAACAGGGTTGAGTGACTTGCCCAGGGTCACACTGCTAGTAAGCATCAGAGGCCAGATATGAGCGAGGGAAGATGAGTCTTCCTGATTCCAAGTCCAGGATTCTCCCCACTGGCCACTTTGCAGTCTTTGAGACAGAACAACTAAAAAGAATGGCAAGAGACAGCTGTGCCTTCCTCAAAGAACCAGCATCCAAACCTCATGCCTCCACTACAATATGAGGGAGGTGGCTGTAATGGTGGATATTGGACAGGGGTCCATGGTCTCAGTGGACCTGAGCTGGCTGTTTCACCATTTCCTCAGTGACTTGGTGAGGAACAGAACTGAATATGACCCCGGCTGGGGTGGACCATGGAGAACCATGCCACTTACTCGAGCGGTTCTGTGGAGAGAGGATTGGGCAATGAAAGTCTAATTTCATGGAACATCTGGTCCCAACTGTAGGCAGCCTCTCATTGGTGGCCCATGCAGAGTCAAATCCACTGGAGGGCAGCCAACTGAAGGCTTAATTAGCAGGCTTTGAAAGAAGTGCTTAGCTAATTTTGTCAATGAACTATACCAGAGCAGGCGTGTTCCATCAGCTCTATGGCCTTAGTCTAACGATCCTTTACCCAATTCGAAGACTGGGATTCTATCCACAGGTGGACCATCAATTGTGGAATGACTAAATAAACTGTGGTGTATGATTGTAATGGATATCATTGT